GATTAAAAAGAAATTATCTCTCACTCTTCCTAATCACAACGTAAGCTAACAGTGTTATGGCCATTTCACAGAATAGGAAACTGAGGCCCAGACAGTCACACAGCCAGTAGTAGGTGGCAAAACTGTGTCTCGAGTCTTATCTAATAAATTCAAGGCCAGTGCCTTTCTCTCTCTCTCTCTCTCTCTCTCTCTCTCTCTCTCTCTCGCTCGCTCGCTCTCGCTCTCGCTCTCGCTCTCGCTCTCGCTCTCTCTCTCTTTCTCGGAAAAAAATACACGCCTGGCTCAGCGTTCTCGCTTCTGCCTTCCATCCATCCGTGGGGAGTCGAAGAAATTCCAGAAAGGCACATTAGGCCTCTGTGCACAAATACAAACAGGGCCAGGGCGAACACCTGTGTCCCCGTGCCTGCTGGTCGGGCGAGGCATGGCGTATGGACCGGTGGCCAACGCGGGCCGGGGGAGGAGTGCACTTCGCCCGGACGCTGGGCCTGGAGGCGACGCTAGAGACCACGGTTCCCCGGACACTGTGAGGGCTGGCGGGCGGCGCTGCTGCCCGACAGCAGCCCGGGCTGCACGGGACCTGAGTTCCCTGCACCGAGCACGCCCAGGGCCCCCGACACATCGCCCCGTTCGGACCACAACCTCTTCGGAGCGCGGGGACTTGGGAGGCGCAGTTATATCTCCTGCATGTTTCTGGGGAAGAAAATCAAGCACAGAGCAAGGAAACAACACCTCCAGGGGTCATCCAGTCGGTGACGCCTGGCCAAAGGCTAAAAACCTCGAGTCCAGATCCCAGGAGGTTTCGCCATAGGGGCTGGGTCTGGAGAAAGTGTGGGTGGAAGAGTCGGTTCCGAGTCAGGCGACTGGCTGGATGGGACGGCGGTGAAAACGCCTGGGAGAGTCCCAGATGTAATTAACCCGTTCATCAGAGCTCAGTGGGTAAAGAGAGGGAGGACCCATGAAAATCGAGATGTGCACATGAACCTTTACCTTATTCATAGTCCTGAAGGACGTCCCAGATCCGGTGGAGACCAGAGCTCCTCCTTTCGCGGAGGCTCTGGAACTATCTGGCCTGGATCCAGGCTGAGCAGTTGCGTGGGACCTTCCAGGGAAGGGCTGGGAGGATAGAGGAGAGGGAAAGAATAAATAGCCTCTCCTAAAGTACCACATCTTTTCCTGACAAAATTTTACTCTCCTCCATAGAGCCAATGAAACGCAATAAAACCTTGCACGGAACCTCTCTTCCTGGCAGAGCGTCGCCAACAATTGCCTAGGGGTAAACCAAATACGCCTGAGATAATTATACTGAGCCCGGGGCAATGATTTGCCTGCCAGCATCCTCCGCGCCAGCCGATATTTGGATAGCGTAGTGGTGTGTGTGTGTGTGTGTGTGTGTGTGTGTGTGTGTGTGTGTGTGTGTGTGTGTTTAAATTACACGCCGAAACCTGAAACCGACTGGTCGGTGCCAGGGAGGTTACACGATCTGTTTTTCTTGAACTGCGGTCTGTAGGCAGCTGGGGCGCGCACACACCCGCCCCCGCTGGGGCTGCTGCGCGCCTGCAAAACTTGCCGGAATTAAATCAGCCTTGAAAGGAGGAGGGAAGAGGGGACGAGCGAGCCGCCCCCCCCCCCCCCCCCCCTGTGCCACGCCGCCGGGATTCCCCCAGAATGCGCCCTGGGGGCTCGCCAGTCTCCAAAAGGAACAGGCGTCCGCCCTTCGGGTTGGGCTGGGCGCTCTCCTCCGCAAGTTGGACCCCGCTGGGCGGGTTGGGGTGTCAGGGTTGGGGAGCACCCGGAACGCAGGAGCATGAGGATTGGGCACTGCGCTCTATCGTCATGGTTCTCTTTGGGATCCGAGTTGTGCGGTGGCTCGCCGAGACCCCAAAGGCTGGCCACGCGGCTCGCGCGTCCCCAAGCGCCCAGGCCGAGGTGGTGGCGGTCCGGTCTGTAGGTGTAATGAGCTCACCAGTGAAAAGCTCGGTTTACAGTTTACGGCTTTCTAGTGTTCAGGTGGTGAGCGTTAAGCTCACCCCAGGCGCCTTTGAAGGGCTCTTCTCTAGCTGTGTCCCCAGACACCTACAGGTCCACTTGCCCAACGGGAACGTACCTGAGATGGGAATGTACCTGAGATGGGAATGTACCTGAGACCTCCCAAGGAGGAGGCGTTGCTTCTCCGGAAGCCCGCAGACAAGATACTTTGGTAAGCTGCCCTTGCCCGCTGCTCAGCTTGGACAGGGCTGATCTGTCTCTGTAGGCATCTTGGGAATTCCTCCATAGCATCGTGAGGCCCGGAGGCCGGAGGCCGGCTGCTGCTCAGCTCCTGAAACTGCCTCTGCGGACCAGAAATTAAAAAAAAAAAAAAAATCCAAAAACACTCCATTGGCTGAAGGAATGGCCCCTGTCTGGAGTGACAGTGAAAGCATCCAACTCTGAAAGGGTCTCCTTCGCTTAGGGCAAGCCAAGAGGATGCTCTGTTCCCCCGGGGCCCTCTTGCACACTTTGCTTAAACTGTCTTTACCTCTTCTAACGCGGCTGCTGGCCTAAGAGCACTAGACAGAAAGCTAGTTCCTAACTAAAGATGAAAATTACGCATCTGCCCCGCTCACTGCACCCCTACAACCCGATGGGCAGACAGTGCGGCTCGTGGTCCTTCCCTGGGGCAGCTCAGCCAAAGCTCTAAGCTGAAAACACGGACCTGGTGTCGCCAAGGTTGGAGGGTAAGAGGCAATCTCCCAAGCAGTCTGGGCCAATTGCCTTCTGCTTTCAGATTTAGACATGGAAAAGAAGAAATGAAAAACAGAGCGAGCCACAGCCCCCAATACATGTATTCTCCTCCACTGGAGGAACTGGAGGGGGCCCGTGAAATGTCCAACTCCAGACATCTCATTTTACAAATAATGAAACTGAGGCCCACAGACCGGAAGAGGGTGTGTGTTTTTCCCCTCCTACACTCTGCTTTTCCTCCCAGCCCAAGGGTATCGGCAGACTAAATCAGAATATAACTTGGGGTTCTCCCTGCCTTCAGCGGGGATGCACTGCTGGGCTTAGTGCGGAGCAGGAACCTGCTTCCCGGACCCCAGCAAGCACCGGGATTCACCTTTCCCTCACAGGTCACGCCAGGCCCTGTGGATGGATCGTTTTGACCTCCCATTTGGTTTTAATTACCTCCCTTCCCTCCATGTGCTAAGAATGGCAAAGACTTGGTTCCAAGAACACCCAGGTGATGGGATCTCAGTAATCCCAGCTCCTCCTGCTGCCCCAGCTCAGCTCAGATGTCACCATCCCAAAGAAATGCTTCGCCCTGTTGGATCCACCCGCTCTGGAGAAGCGCGGTGGAGCCTCCATCTACCAATCCCTTAAATCTACAACAATTTCCTGGTGACTGTCCACTCCCGCTCTGCCCCGCGGTCCTAGCGCGCAGAGAGCTGTATGGTGCCTCCTTGGACCTGGCGCCATCCATGGGCCTGGTATATAGTTGGTGAACCATAAAGTTGTGATGAAGTTAGCATTTGACCAAACTGTCCCTGGTTCTCCTCCCCGTGAATTTTCCCCTCCAACCCTCCCAAGCATTGGGATTTATTTTTATTTAATTTTTATTTATTTTTTATTTTTGCAGTGGAGATAGGCTTTGAGGTCATGATTCTACAAACTTGGCCCAGAGTGGCTGGTCAAGGAAAAAGGTAACATAAGGAGAGAGAATCAGAGCTGGTAGGTGGGAAGGGTGAAAGGATGGGGAGAGGCTGGAGATTCAGGAGAGAAGAGAGAAAGCAGGGTCCAGTGCCCCCTCTCTGTCTAGCGTCGCGGCCCGGGTGGGGTACGGCAGCGGGGACCGCACCCGGGGCCAACAGCCTGCGCTGGACCCCCACCCCCGATCCCCCCCACCCCTCGGCGGCGGCCAGGTTCTGCGAGCCGGTGGTGCGTGCGGAGGGTGGAGGCGCCCAAACCTGGACGGAGGGGAAGGGGCGGGGGCGAGGCACGGCGCCTTCTCGCCCCTTCTCCTGCGAGAGACGCGGCGGCGGTGGCGCGGAGTCAGTCCCTCAGCCTCGGTCATGTGATGATCTCGAAGCGTGAGCTGCGGGGGTCTCGGCGTCTCGGGGACCGTTACAAAACGCAGCCGGGAGAGCGCGTCGCAGCCACAGCCGCCGCCGCCGCCTCTCCAGCTCCAGACCCGTCCGGGAGAGCAGCAGCGGCGGCAGCTGCGGCGGACCCCGGAGCGGGCCTCTGGGCGTCTCGCATCCCCCCACCTTCGCAGACACCCGCTCCAGCCCGAGGTGCGCGCCCCGCGCCCCCGCCCCTCCTCCAAGCCTGCACGCTCTGCGCCTGCAGAAGCCACCAAACTTTTCCCTCCACCCCGCAAGCGACCGCCTACACAGCTCTGTCCCCCGCTCCGCCGCGAGCTGCTGGAGGAAAAAAAAAAAAAAAAAAGGTGCCAGACTAGGCTGCCAGGAAGCTGGGCTCCCTTCTCCTTACCTTGCTTCTCCGACCCAGGAGAAGAGACCTCCAGGGTGGACGGAGCGGTGGGTCAGGGAGCAGCCGCCTTTCCCCGCCTCCGGGACAGCGAGTGCCATTTCGGATTGAAGGGGCCAGGGTCCTCCTGACGGTCCAGTCCTTCCTCCCAGCCCGCTTGGCCTGCGCTTCCCTCGGACCGAGAAAAAAAGCAAGGAGACCGGAAGAGAACACGGCTCCTCCCCACTCTTCCAACGCCGACTCCCGAGCTCGGTCTCCGGCCGTCCGAAGGGAAGACGCTGCGAGGGGGGCGGTGAGGCTGGCGCGCCCCGCCCGCGGCTGTGCGCTCGGGGCGGCGGCGGAGGCGGCGGCGGCCGTCGGGGCCCGAAGTTGTGAGCATCGCGAGCTAAGTTGGCCGAAGAGGCCAAGCGCGGCAATCCCTGCAGCTGGGAGGAGGCGGAAGATACCCGGCAGGAGGGTCTTAGGAGGGAAGAGGAGGGTGGAGTGGCGAGCGTAGGGAGGAGGAGGAGGAGGAGGAGGAGGAGGAGGAGTGGAGCCAGCCGGGCCCCGGGAGCGGGCTGCTGCTGCGGAGGAGCCAGCGGGCGGTGGAGGCGCCAGGGCCGGCGATGCCTCGGCCGGGGAAGAGCTCGTACAGCGACCAGAAGCCGCCCTACTCGTACATCTCGCTGACCGCCATGGCCATCCAGCACTCGGCCGAGAAGATGCTGCCGCTGAGCGACATCTACAAGTTCATCATGGAGCGCTTCCCCTACTACCGCGAGCACACGCAGCGCTGGCAGAACAGCCTGCGCCACAACCTCTCCTTCAACGACTGCTTCATCAAGATCCCGCGGCGGCCCGACCAGCCGGGCAAGGGCAGCTTCTGGGCGCTGCACCCCGACTGCGGCGACATGTTCGAGAACGGCAGCTTCCTGCGGCGCCGCAAGCGCTTCAAGGTGCTGCGCGCCGACCACGCTCACCTGCACGCGGGCAGCGCCAAGGGCGCGCCGCCGGGCGCTGGGCCCGGAGGAGGGCACCTGCACCCGCATCCCTCCCACCACCCGCACCACCACCACCACCACCATCACGCGGCCGCCCACCATCACCACCACCACCACCACCACCCCCCGCCCCAGCCGCCCCCGCCGCACATGGTGCATTATTTCCACCAGCAGCCCCCGGCTCCGCCGCCGCCGCCGCCGCCTCACCTCCCTTCGCAGCCGCCCCAGCAGCCGTCGTCTCAGCAGTCCCAGCCTCAGCAGCCGTCGTCGCAGCCCGGCAAGATGCAGCAGGAGGCGGCGGCCGTGGCGGCGGCGGCGGCGGCGGCGGCGGCGGCCGCGGTGGGCAGCGTGGGGCGCCTGTCCCAGTTCCCGCCCTACGGGCTGGGCTCGGCCGCCGCCGCCGCTGCAGCCGCCGCCGCCGCGTCCACGTCGGGCTTCAAGCACCCGTTCGCCATCGAGAACATCATCGGCCGGGACTACAAGGGCGTGCTGCAGGCCGGCGGGCTGCCCCTGGCCTCGGTCATGCACCACCTGGGGTACCCCGTGCCCGGCCAGCTGGGCAACGTCGTCAGCTCCGTGTGGCCGCACGTCGGGGTCATGGATTCGGTGGCCGCGGCCGCCGCAGCCGCCGCAGCCGCGGGGGTACCCGTAGGCCCGGAGTACGGGGCTTTCGGGGTGCCGGTCAAGGCCCTGTGCCATTCGGCTAGCCAGAGCCTGCCTGCCGTGCCGGTGCCCATCAAGCCCACCCTGGCGCTGCCGCCCGTGGCCGCGCTGCCGCCCGCGCTCGCCGTCCCCGCGGCCGCCCAGCAGGCGCCGGCTCCGGCCGCCACCGTGTGCCCGGCGGCCTCGGCCTCTCCTGCAGCCTCTCTGCTGGAGCCCGCCGCCCCGAGTGCGGCCGAGGGCAAGGGTGGCTCCCTGCACTCGGTGCTGGTGCACTCCTAAGGCGCCCAGCAAGCCGCGAGGGACGAGATAAAGACTGAACAAACCGCTGGTCCCCGACCGACCGCGGGAGGGGGAGAGGGCGCCCCGGCCAGGCCCGGCTGATCCCCAGCGTTGGCGGGACAGGGAAAGGTATTTAAACAAAAACGAACAATCCGAATGTGGATTCGCCAGTGGTCCGCGTCAATGTAATGCTTCTGGTGTCAGTGTGTAATACTATGTTGTACAATCAGGTTCATGAAAGCCAATTTTCAGGTAAGAGTTTCTATTGTAATTAATATTATAAATCAATAAGTTATGGGTGGGGGGAGGGAGGGAAATGAAGGCGTTTGGGGAATCCTCCTTTGGCAGGTAAATTGGAAATGGATTTTTTTTCGATTCTTGTTCGTGTGGGACCAGAAGCTGTGAGATGTAAACATCGCCGGGAGACATGCAACAGAGAGTGAAGCTGGGACAGACCGCCGCCACCGAGTTCCTCTCCTCTGGTCTCCGGCAGCTTCTGGACAAAACTGCTGTTCACGAAGGACATCTCGATTTATTTAAGAAGAAGTGTTTGATGCCATTATTTCCCTGGTCAGGGAAAGCGGCAAGGAAACGGTATTGTGACTGAAGCCGCTTTAGGGGGCAGTGGGGACACCATGGAGGACCTTGGGAAACAGTTACTTGTCTTGGCTCTGACCCGGGGTCGAGAAGGGTGGGGGAACAGCTAAAGCAATTAGTTTGCACAAAAGAGGATAGTGGTGGCGGCTTACAGAGCAAAGCCCAGGATTCCAAACGTAAAGTTCTGGGGGAAACACACCAAAGAGACCATCAAAGGTGACTTTCTACCTGCAATTCGTTTGTGTGTCAGTCGGATGAAATCATTAAGGAGCCCCAAAACAATGTGCATTCTCACGATCTGTTCCACTGGGATTTTAAAGAGAGAAAAAAATTCCTTGCATCACGACGCGATGTTGTTCCCCTAACTCACCAGTGCAAGAAACACCTGCCTCGTCCCCCCTAAGTTTTGCTCTTAGGGCTCACAGTGGCCATGGCAACCTGGTCCCCTGTGCACGCTGCTGTCCTTGTGATGAGTGGGAGAGAAACTTGGCTCCCCAGTGCTGTCCCTCCCCTCTTGTTGAGCCCCAGCAATAGCACTTTACTTGCAACAAACTTTTGGGAACGAAGGGGGGCGGGGGGCGGGGGGGGGGGGGGTAGGGAGGAGGCAGCAGCTCTCTGCCTGTCTGTCACCTCTGGATTGTGTCCCTGCCGCGTTCGGGTTGTGACTTTGTGACACGTTCATATCTGCCTGTGTTTGTACGCGGTGTTCTCCATTAAAGCTTCTCTCTGGGTGTTGCCAGTGCCGGAGTAATGGTGTTCCGCTTCTGCAGGCACCAGGCCACACGGTTTGGGTGCCTCCTGCTCAGACAGGGGACTCGGCAAACCCTCCCCTGCCCCGTTATTTCTTAACATCAGAGTTTCAGAGGGCTGAGGTCTCAGGCCAGCCACCAGCAGGAACACCTTGCTCCGCTTCTCCTTTTACTAGCGGTGCATTTACCTCCCCTGCTACCCGTTCTCACTGACCATGCTGGTGTCCTAGCTGAGCTCAAGGCCTCCTGAGGGGCCAGATTGGAGTTAGACACCACACACACACACACACACACACACACACACACACACACACACGGGAACAGAGATTTTGTTGTTCCTACATGAGGCTCACATCAATACACCATCACCACCACCCAAAACCCCATTCCCTTTTCTGAGGTCCTTGAGGGCAAACCGGAGACTCGGTTCCATGTGGTGGGTACCCAGCGGCGCCCCCTGAAATCTGTGGGGCTGGTCAGATCCGGGGGTCAGCGCCAGGACGCTGCCACCGCCTCGGTGGTGGTGCTGGCCGACATTTAACGAGGAACCTGGCCTCTACCGCCACCGCCACCGCCACTGCCACCAAGGCCTGGGACCTGTTGCTCGCCGCAGGCTGCGCCCAGGCCCAGCTGGGCTTCGGCCTTAGCAGCTGAGGGGCCCCCGGGAGGCGAAGTGCTCCCCCACAGGACCTTGCAGGCTGCAGCTACTGTGGAGCTGGGTGGGGAGCTGGCAAGGTGGCCAGGCCGGTACGAGGGACCTCGCTGGGGCCAGGGAATCGCAGTCCAGCCTCTGCCCTTCACCCAGGAGCAGGGCTCCAACCTGAACCAGCTTCCCTCGGCCCATCCAGCCCCAAGGAAGCCTCCTCTAACCTTTCCTCAGAAGAAAGCAAAGGGCCCACAAGATGACTTGTGCACGGGCAATGATCCCTGATTTACTACATCCCTTGCAGTGACTCCAAGGTCTGGCCAAGGCCTCCTTTCAGGCTCGCACAATTCTAGCGCCTCCCATCCTGTCAGTTTGAGACTGCTGGGTTTTCCTCTACACTAGTTTGATATGATTGAGGGACAAAAAGAAAAAGGGCAGATGCTGACATGAGGGTCACAGACTCGGGGAATCTGGCTTCTTTGTCTCTGGGTGAGTTGGTGCCTGGAAGCCAGGGACAGGGGCCCGTAGTTCAGAGGCTGAGAGTCCTGAATTCTGGGAGTTTCTTCCAAAGAGCACCCTCCCTTCCCCACCTGCCTGCAAGGACCAGTGAACTTTATAGAGATGCCCATGGTTCCTCTGGAAAGGGTGAGGCTCCAAATGATGTTGGGGGAAAGCGGGAGAGAAGAGCAAGAAGGGGGAGCTGGCCTAAGTGACCGCCCCTCCTGAGGAGGGGGGAGGGAGCCTGTGGGCCGGGCCTCTGAGAAGGATGAATAATGGACCCTCACTGTTTCCCTGAACCCTCTTGGCACCCAACTCCACCCCGAACACCCCCGTGGCACTCCTTCTACCTCTGAGAAAAACACGGTTGTTTTGTTTTTACTGTAAGGGAGGAGAGAAAGGAGACTAGAAGGCAACATGAGCTTAGAAATCATTCCATTCAAGTTTTCTTCCAGGGGGAGACCTTGCACTCAAAGGAAGCTAAGCTAAGCATGGCATTCAGACTGGAGAGCACGAGATTCTTGTAAATAAACGCTAAAGACAGGGGTGGGGGTGGGTGTCTGTTAAAGCTCTGATCCCAACAGAGGTCCCAATTAAAGCCTTGAAGACTCCCACCCCCCAACTAAGATGGGGTCTGCAGTCTCACTGTAAGATTATCATTCCCACAGCTCCTGAGCTGGGAGTTGGCAGGATTAGTCTGGGCAAATCTCTGACGTGCCAGGACTGGGAAGTCCCCAGGTCCCGGCTCACTGCTCCACCAGAATCAGATCATATCCACGTGCCAAAAACACTCACTCACAGACCCTGAGCCAGATCCAGCACTTATTGTAAATGTTTAAAGAGGGGTCGAACCGTTAAACATATATAGCTCTGGTAATAATCTAAGTATAGAGAGAACTGCTAAAGCTAATAGGAATAAACTGATGGTGATATTTTGGTAACCCTCTCAACTGAGTATGTGATCACATCTGACCTCTCAGGTATTCTCTCTCTAGCTATAGGTTGAGGTAGAGGGAAATTAAGTTCTAGACCTAAGGGAGATGGAAGTAAAGACACTTTTGTATGTATGACCATCTCAGTTCACAGAGTTCAATAAAATCACTCAGTGTATGCTAAGTGCTGGTGGAGATACCATGGCATTATGCTGTTGGTTTCCAGGATGATAGAAAAAGCTACTTATTAGTTGCTTAGCCTGTTTCCCACTTCACTGAGTGCACAGAACACCAAGAAAGATAGGGAGAAGCCAGGAGGAGGGAGGAAGGTTTTAGTGTAGCTGTCCTTAAAAAAAAAGTGGAGCCGAAACCAGTTTGGTTCAGTGGATAGAGTGTTGGTCTGTAGACTGAAAGGTCTCAGGTTTGATTCCTGTCAAAGACATATACCTTGGTTGCAGGCAATCCCCAGTGGGGGGGGGGGGGGGGGGGGCAGGAGGCAGCTGGTTGTTGTTTCTCTCTCATCGATGTTTCTATAATAGCTCTCTATCCCTCTCCCTTCTTCTCTGAAAAAACTCAATAAAATATACAAAAAAAAAAAAAAAAGAAAAAGAAAAGAAAAAGAAAAAGAAAGAAAGAAAAAAGAAAAGAAAAGTAGGCCCTAACCGGTTTGGCTCAGTGGATAGATTATTGGCTTGCGGATTGAAGGGTCCCAGGTTCGATTCCGGTCAAGGGCGTGTACCTTGGTTGTGGGCACATTCCCAGTAGGGGGTGTGCAAAAGGCAACTGATCAATATTTCTCTCTCATTGATGTTTTTAACTCTCTATCCCTCTCTCTTCCACTCTGTAAAAAAAAAAAAAAAAAAAAAAAAAAGGTAGAAGAAAAACAACTTGGAATAATCCATCTGATTATATTTCCTTGGGAAGCTGAGACAAAAGCTAAGGGCAGAGGGAGGGCGAAGCTATTTTAGCTCTGGTTCCTGGGAGAACAGGCCCTCCTGCAAAGGCTAGGGCCAGCACAATTGGCATCTGGCACTTAGGAAGGCTGTCAGTCAGGCTGGCTTGTGGTCAATTACCTCCTTAAGTAGACTGGCATCAGTCCAGCCAGGGAGGGGGGCTGTTTGCATTCAGAGGAATCAGAGCCAGTTAGCTGGAAGTGGCACCGCTGAACTCCAAGCATCTTTGTATTGCAGGGTTTGGAAGGCTGACCAGCACCTCCCCTGGGACTCACAGGTGACATTTGCCTGCTTGGCACTATTGGCACTACTATAGACATACTCCAGAAGAGTATGGAAGCAGAATGCCTTAGGAGAAGGAACATGGATCACCAAAGCCACTAATTCCCTTAAATGCCATGCACCAACAAAATTGCCATTTCTGATATGCACAAAATTATAGAGATCATTATAAGTTGTGATGGGATTTGGCTCCTCCATTGGATAACAATTTTCATTCTTCACTGTACCTGACTATGAAATGTGCACAAGGATATTTTAGAAGCAAACTCAGGATTTGGATGATGTGGCGAGGGCTTTAAATGGTATTGGTGCTCATCAGACTGTATGCACGTGATTCTGTATGGGGGAGAGGGGACAGGGTAGAGTTTGTATTGAAACTGAGAAATTTAAAAAAAAAAAATGGTCTCAAAAGCCAGTGATAATCTCTTTGTAGGTGAAAAGGCAGAGGGGGGGTCCAAATGGAGGTAGGAAGTCCTTGAATTCCAGAGGGCAAAACAGTTTCTTCATGTCCAGCATTCTCATTCTGCTCATTGAAAGTATTTTCATTAACTTTATCTTTCAAAGCTGAAATGCTACCTTATACCCTTTGGGGGAGATTGAAGAGATCTGCTTGGGATTTGAATTCAATCTTAAACCATTGTTTAAATGGTATGAGTTTGGCAAAATTCCAGATCTACTCTGTCCCAAGCACTTTCCCCCCTTAACTCTCCCCTGTGTATTTTAAGGAAAATTCAAGCCACATGTTGCTCTTTCCCCGTTGCATTCAAATGTTGCTTTATTGAATTTTAGCATGGCCCATGAAATTCAAATTCTGGGTTTTAAGCCATGATATATTCATATGATCTACACTCAGTCACATGATATGCACATATATCATTAAGCAGAAAATAAAGCATCTGAGACTTACAGTTGTATTATTACAGTAACACTTCTTTAAACAGAAGAACCAACCATGTTAACAATGCCATATGAAAAAGGATTTTATAAAATTATCAAAAATTAGAGTGACTCATGAAAATGTCTTTAAAAGAATATTGTTAAGAAAATATTTTGGTTATGTTTAGTTTGACCCAATTAGTTCTTTCCTGCCACAAGAAACAAGTCTTTTGTGTGCAGAGGGTACTCGGGGCTTTGCTTATAAGTCACAGTTCTCATTATTGCAGCGTCATTTAAGAAGTGCATTCAAATATGCTTTCCAATCTGAGCCAGTTCCAGTCCTGTCAGCACCTTCATGGACAGCGTGTTTTTATTGTTCCTAT